ACACCCAGAGATACGCAGTGGGCACGGGAGAATTGGTCTGACTCAGAGGTGGTCGTGGAAAAGCTGGGACAAAGCCACAGAAGATTTTGGGGTGGCATAGACAAGGGAAATACGTGTGCCATCCTAGCTGCCTGTGTAATTCAGGCACAGGGCCATTCCGAAAAGTTAGCAAGAGAACTGGAAAATGAAAGAGAGCAGACGTGGGAGAGAGGGAGGTAGAGGGAGATCGTGGTAGCACAAGCAAAAAAGCCCCCCAGTGATGTCCAAATCTGAAAATTAATCACAGGCACAGACCCCGAGGACTGGGGTGAGGACAATGGGAAAGAACGTGAGGAATATCGCTCTGAGGAAACTCAGGAATTTGACAAAAAAAAAAGGTACAACCTTTTATGAAAGCAGAGAGGCGTACAGGACTGCGTGGCAGCAACACCCGAACCACTGTCCGTACCACCCGCTGGTCGGGACCCGAGCTCAGTAAATTACAAGCTAAGTTTTCGTGCAAGGTGGGTGAACCCGAAACTGAATATGTGTGGAGACTGTCTTTGACAGGAGGTGATCGGATACTGCTGAGTGATGAGGCAGCAGCAGGGTTTTGGGGCCCTGGAGCATTTCTGAGCGGCGGGCCAGCAGGCTGTTGACAAAAGGTCGCAATCACGACAAACTTATCTACACGTTGCAGATAAGCCAGCACTTCTTTATTGCAGCACTGGGAAGCACGGGGGATAGCTCCACCTGATGTGCTTCAAAGTTATATCAAAAATTCAACATTTTATATCCTTTTTCTGCAAAGTCATATCTTTAACATATTATAACATAAGCATGCATGTTATACGTGCTATTAATTTTGACATTTACAATGATTGGTCCACTCTATTATATGACTTTATTAATATTCCTATACTAATATAATCATTGGTTATTTTACTGATCAAAATGTCTCATATACAAATTAGGATGGGGAGGATGTGAAAGTCTTCACAGCAACATCCCTTTGTTTCTATGGTTTCGTCACATAAGATAAGAGAACTAGCCGAGAATGTATAATTTCACTCCTTGTATCTGTCTCTCTGCCTCCCTGTTCTGTGTTCTGTACAATTTCACAGTCCGTAGCAGCTTTAGCTTTGGCCATCTTCATAAGGCCTGCATCTACTGCCTCTTAGTGTAAGTGAGGTTTTGTGTATTTCTTACCATAGTGTAAATTAATTTAATCAGGAAATTAATACAAGATGTTAGTCGTTCATTAAAAGCAATTAAGTTGTTCATTAAAAGCAATTAATTATCAATTAAAAGTAATTATCTGTTCGAAATTCAGACCTGATTATAACAAGGCAACCAGTCGATCACGTCCCGAGTGGCTTATTGGGTTGGGTGTGTGGACCCCAGA